GAGTTGTGGTGTTGGCAAAGAATGCTGAAAGTACCATGGACTGCTAAAAGAACTAACAAATCCATCCTGGAAGATGAAGTGCAGCCAGGATGCTCCTTGGAAGCGAGAATGGGCCAAATTTTGTCTCACCTACTTTGGTCATGTTGTAAGAAGGGACCATTCCCTGGAGAAGGATATCATGCTTGGCAAAGTGGAGGGGCAATGAAAAAAGGGAAAGCCCTCAATGAGATGGATTGACACAGTGGCTGCAATAATGGGCTCAGGTATAGCAAGGATCCTGGGGCTGGCACAGGACTGAGCATTGTTTCATTCTGCTGTACAGGAAGGAGGTTGCTATGAGTCATAGACGACTCAACGGCACCTAACAACAACAACCAACTTCTGCAATCTGGAATTAGCCAAACATGCAATCAAGATGTATTATTACTGGTGATTGGAAGGTAAAAGTTGGAACAAAGAAGAATCACTGGCAGGTGGAAAACATGGCATTGGTGATAGAAGTAACACTGGAAATTGCATAATAGAATTTTGGAGGCCAACAACTTACTCACTGCAAATAACTTTCTTCAACAACATAAACAGCAGCTATACATCTAGACCTCGCCAGACGGAACACACAGGAATCAGATCAATTACATCCGTAGAAAGAGGCGATGGATAAGTTCAATAGTTTCAACCAGAACAAGGCCAGGGGTTGACTGTGGAACAGACCATCAACTGCTCATATGCAAGTTCAAGGTGAAGCTGAAGACAATTAAAACAAGTCCATGAGAGCCAAAATATGACCTTGATTATATCCCACCTGAATTTAGACACTATCTCAAGAACAGATTCACACATTGAACACCAATGACCAAAAACCAGATGAACTGTGGGATAACATCAAGAACATCATCCATGAAGAAAGCAAAACATCATTAAAAAGGCAGGGAAGAAAAGACCAAAATGGATGTCAGAAGAGACTCTTAAACTTGCTCTTGAATGGAGAGTAGCTAAAGCAAATGGAAGAGAGATTTCCAAGGAATCAGGACTCAGAAGCTGAAGAGACATGGACCTTCCTCCAGAGCAGATGGAGAAAATCTTCCCCTGGAGTCAGCACCTGGAATTCGGACTTCTAGCTTCCTAAACTGCAAGACAATAGATTCCTATTTGTTAAAGCCAAAAATAAATAAATAAATCAAATGGAATGAATGCCAAGATAAAAGAGCTGAACAGGTTTCAAAGAGCAGCTCGAGAAGACAAAGTCAATTATTATAATGAAATGTGCAAAGACCTAGAATTAGAAAGCCAAAAGGGAAGAACATGTTCATTTCTTCAGCTGAAAGAACTGAAGAAAAAATTCAAGCCTCGAGTTGCAATATTGAAAGATGTTTGCCTAAGGCATTCTGACTGCTAACCAGAAGCAGTTCAAACCCACCAGCCACTACTCAGAAGGAAATTTGGGCAATCTACTTCTGTAGAGATACTGCCTCGGAAACCCAAGGAGGGTCGGTATGTGCCGGATCCAGCTTGATGGCAGTGTTCGTTTTTTTTTTTTTTTTTAATGTGTAAAATATTGAATGATGCAGGAAGTATTAGAAGATAGAAGGAATACAGAGTCCCTGTACCAAAAATGTTCATCCATTTCAGGAGGTCGCATATAATAAAAAACCAATGGTAGTGAAGGAAGAAGTCAAAGCTGCACTGAACGAATTGGTGAAAAACAAGGCTCTGGGAATTGGCTCATTGAGATGTTTCAACGGATGCCACACTGAAGGCACTACTTGTCTATGCCAAGAAATTTGGAAGAGAGCTACCTGGCCAAGTGACTGGAAAAGATCCATATTGTTTGTACCCATTCCAAAGAAAAGTCATCCAACAGAATGTGAAAAGTATTGAACACTATCATTAATAGCACATGCAAATATAATTTTGCTGAAGATAATTAAAAAAACGGTTAAAGCAGTGTATTGACAGGGAACTTCCAGAAATGTGAGCGAGATTCAGAAGAGGATGTGGAGCAAGGGATATCATTGCTCTATCAGATGAATCTTGGCTGAAAGCAAATACCAGATGTTTGTGTTTTATTGACTATGCAAAAATATTAAACTGTGTGGATCATAACAAATTATGGATAAAATTCAGAATGGGAATTCCAGAACACTTAACTGGATCCATGAGGAACCTATACATAGACCACAAGACTCTTGTACAAATAGAACAAGGGTATACTGCATAGCTTAAAATCAGGAAGGGAGTGCATCAGGGTTGTTTCCTTTTACCACACTTACACAATCTGTATGATGAGCAAATAATCCGAGAAGCTGGACTATATGAAGAACACACCATCAGGACTGCAGGAAGACTCATTAACCCGAGAAAAAGACAACACAACCTTGCTTGGCTGAAGTGAGGACTTGAAGCACTTTCTGATGAAGGTTAAAGACTACAGTCTGCAGTATGGACTACACCTCAGTGTAAAGAAAATGAAAATAAAAATCCTCTCAACTAGACTATTAAGTGGCATCGTGATAAATGGAGAAAAGCTTGAAGTTGTCAAAGATTTCATATTACTTGGTTCCATAATCAACACCCATGGAAGTAGCAGTCAAGAAATCAGATGTCAAAAAAAAAAAAAAAAAATCAGATGTTATATTGCACTGGCAAATCAGCTGCAAAAGACTTCTTTGCAGTAGTTGCTCAAGAGCAAAGATGTGACTTTAAAGACTAAGGTACACCTGACCCAAGCCATGGTATTTTCAATAGCCTCATATGCATGTGAAAGCTGAACAGGAAGATCAGAGTTGATGCTTTTGAGGTGTGGTGTTGGCAAATACTGAAAGTACCATGGACTGCCAGAATGAACAAATCTGTCCTGGAAGAAATGCAGCTGGAATGCTCCTTGGAAGCAAGAACGCCAGACTTCATCTCACCTACTTTGTCTTCAGAAGGGACCATTCCCTGGAGGGTATCATGCTTGGTAAAGTGGAAAGTCAGTGAAAAAAGGGAAGGCCCTCAACAAGATGGACTGAAACAGTGGATACAATGATGGTGTCAGGCATATCAAGGATTGGGAGGACGGCGCACAACCAGGCAGTGTCTGGTTTGTTGTACATAGGGTCACTATGAGTTGGAGTCAACTCAACAGCACCTAACAACTAACAAAAATAATAATGTATCACAACGAAGTTGGCTTTATACCAGGATTATAGTAGGCATGAAAGCTTACAGGGCATTAAAATGGAACATAAACAAAAAAACCAAACTCACTGCTGGCAAGTCAGATCCGACTCATATAGTGACCCTTCCTTGGGTTCCCAAGGCACTATCTCTATGGAAGTAGGTTGCCCAGTCTTCCTTCCGAGGAGTGGTTGGTGGCTTTGAACCACCAGCCTTCTGGTTAGCAATCAAATGCCTTAAGCACTTTACCACCAGAGCTCCCAAAGTGGAACATAAAGCAATAAAAATAAAAAATAATAATAAAAAAACTACAGCTACATCAAGCATGTGTAAAATCTGTGTTGAGCAAAGGAAGCAAGACCTAAGAATTCATATACTATCATTCCACTTAGAGAAGTTTCAAAACAAGGCATAACAAAATTTAGGCTTCCATATGAAGTGGCACTATTTAAAGAAAAGGAAAATGTGAAACTGTAAATGTGAAAAGAATGGTTACCTCTAGAAGGGGAGTAAGGGGGCATGACAGAGAAGGGATGCACTGTTGGTGTGCTGGCGATCTATTTCTTTACTATCATAATAGTGATTTAGGTGTTCATATTTCGTAATTAGGAGCTCTGGTAGCATAGTGCCTACGGCACTTGACTGCTAACCAGAAGGCTGGCAGTTCAAACCCACCAGCCACTCCTCGGAAGGAAGGTTGGGCAATCCTACTTCTGTAATGATACCGCCTCGGAAACCCAAGGAGGGGTCGCTGAGTCGGGGCCAACTCGACGGGACATAACATTTTGTAGTTATTCACTATACTGTACACTTACACTGTTTTATTTCACAATATAATAAAGTAAAAATACTAGGAAATATTCAAATTTAACAGAAATAACAAAACATCATACCAACCTGAGACTGTATCACATTCTTCTATATAGTACTTTTTGCTTTTTTCATTACTTTGCTATTTGAGAGAAGTTCCATGACTATGCCATTACACCCCTCTTCCTACAGTAGACTGAACCCAGTGATCATACTTCAAGTCATTCAGGTCACATATAACCAGACTAATTTCTTTCTTGAGTCTTTAAAAATCTAAGAACATCAATTGTTAACACAGGTACCTCCTCTATCCACTCTTCCCCACATTCCTCCCATTCTCAACCCACATATTTCTTCTCCAAACATTAACACCCCTAGATCTTTTATTTATTTCCCATGCAATGGTCCAAGTCTCCAACTTCAAGAGCAGCTTCATATCTGAGCATCTTCCTGTAAGTACCATGTCTAGATGGAAACATATTCCAGGTATGAACAAACTTCACCAGGACTTTCATCAGTTACCTCTACCCTTCTATAGTTTCTACTACTTGGAGTTCAAAGATACTGCAAACATGAACTTCCATGTAGAAATTACTTGATTCTTAATAGTGGTCACTCAGTGGAAATGTTATGCAACTTACTAAACCTCTATGGGCCAATTCCCACTCTCACAAAGAACATGAAGATTAAAAAAAAAGTTTTGACCAATAAAGAGAAGAACACAGTAACGTTAATGTCTCCTTTTTATTATCTTTTAGCCCAGCTTATGCAGTAATTTATATCTGTGACAGAATTCAAGTTTACTGAAAGGTATTGCTTATGATTTATAAACTAAAGCATTTAGTGAACTATTTATTTTTTGTATTTATAAATGATGCAAATATATATATATATATATATATATACACGAAAACAAAACTACTTGCATTAAGTATCCACAAAGCAGATTATATGCAATAATCAATGAACAGAAAAACAAGTTTCTATGTGATCCCAAGAGACATGCCCTTTCCTTGATCATGAGACAGCCAAGTATTTTAAGAAATTAAAACAATTAAGATTATACAAGTACAAACTACCAAAAGATTTTAAGCGAAAACTCTTTATTTTAAAAGAAAAAAAGTACATTTTTATTCTTGGCATAAGCTTTAATTCTTTCCAGTGGAACCAAAGCCTCCTGAACCCCTTTCTGTGTCATCCAAAACCTGAGAAGATATAAAAGTGGTAACTCATATAGTTAATTTTAGCACCTCTTTCAGTTCTTTTTCAACTAATTAATGATACTTTCATTCCTGCCATCTTTTCAAAAGAAAGATTATAGAAGAAATTTAAATTTTTAAAAAAAGCTTTCTAAATTGCAATGTCTAATTATTTTCAAAAGAGCTAAGGAATTATTAGAATTCCAAAGTACATTTAATTATTTGTTATCCAAAGTAATACTACATAATAGCTACAAGAAAAACATTTAAAGAAATTCTAAAACTAAGATTCTAATTTTGCTTAAAATATGACTAGGTATACATACTATTTAGTTGTAAACAACATATTAAATCCTCAAAGTTGTATTTGTTTCATCACTTAGGATCATTCCTTCTCTACCAGCTTTGATACTTACTTGAACTTCTTCTATTTCTGGATAAAAAATTCGTTCACAAATGAGCTGTGCAATTCGATCACCCTTTTTGACTTAAAAAAAAAAAAAAAAAGTTTATTAGTGCTATTTTATTGATACCATTATATATATATCCTGCCTTGCCGAATGAGAATTAAAAGTTAGTCTATTATCACACATAATCCACTGCCACTGAATTGATTCTGACTCATAGTGACCCTGTAAGACAGAGTAGAATGCCTCACAGGGTTTCCAAGGCTATAAATCTTTACAGAAGCAAACTGCCTCATTTTTCTTCTGTGGAGTGGCTGGTGGGTTTGAAATGCCAACCTTTTAGAGTTAGCAGCTAAATGCCTTAACCACTCCACTATCAGAGTTTCTTCTTATTACATATAGATAACAGAAAACTATATTCAAGTGCACATATACACTTAACATACCTTCAAATTTTTCTTTGCCAAAATTAAACAGTATAACACCAACGTTTCCTCTATAATCTTCATCTATCACACCAGCTGAAGAAAAGGAAAACATAATCAGTTTGATTTATGCTGCCAGAACACTGTTGTTTTGAGCCTTGGAGTCAATTCCGACTCATCAGAACCCTCTAGGAAAGAGTAGAACTGCTTCACAGAGGTTCCAAGGCTGTATATCTTTATGGAAGAAGACTGTCACATCTGTCTCCTGCGGAAGCAGCTGGGGGGCTTGACCTCGGACTCTTTTGGTTAATACCCAAGCACTTAATTACTGTGCCACCAGGGAGGGCTCCTTAGACCAGAACATCAGGGCTATAAAATTACCTCAAAATCATTTCTTACATAGTTCTGAAAATTTTATCCTTACAACTGAATAATAATGAATCTTGCTCTGGTTCTATGTAAAGTTTCAAAACTAAGAAACGATATTACTAAAACTCAAATAAGAATTTCAACAGGCCCTAATTTTCTAACCTGTCACCCCTATTAATCATCTCCTACTCCAAGCAGGGTATAGGCAATACCATCTTAAATTGGTCATCCTGAATTGCTCTCCGCAAACCCACCGACTACCTGCTGTACACCTGCCAAAAAGAAGAGCTGAGAACCATGGTCCCGGTTTTAATGTTTTTGATAGCTAAGCTCTTTCCCTTCCAGCTCCCGCCAATTTCCACGTTGAAATATGACTGAGTCATAAACAAAATTGCCAAAAAGCCTGAAGATTTGCAGAATATGTCAACAGTGACACTGTCAAATAGCATTTTTTGCAAATATAAGAACATTTTTACAATGAACAGGGTCCTAAACCTTTCAGTTCATATTCTCCTCATTTTAATTGGAATCACCATTCTTTCTTAGAGCATGATCTTGTAGAAGAATTACACATGGAACCATGTGTAATTACTATCTGTTTGAAATTATAAAAAAGGGCAATAAACCTTTGCATGAGAACAGAGTTGAGCCAGGGCCCTGCTATGGCCTGGAGAACTACATTTACCAGGCTTGCTAGTATTATCTTTGGGACAAGAATTAGAAATATTTCCATAAACACAATCACAGATAATGTAGGTATACCAGGACTTCTCATATTAAAAAAAAAAAAAAAAAAAAGATCTATAATGCATATATCATACAATTAATTCATCCAATTACGGTAATTCCTAAGTTTCTTCCCCCTAGTTGCTGTTGAGTCAATTCCAAATCACAGTGACCTCATGTGTCAGGGTGTAACTGCTCCAAATGGTTTTCAAGGCCGTGATCAGAAGCTGACTGCCAGGCCTTTCTTCCAGGGCACCTCCTGAGTGGGTTCAAATTGCCAGCCTTTTGGTTAGTTGTCAAGTGTTCATCCATTTGTGCTACCCGCGTACTCCTAACTGTGATGGTGCAGTGCCTAAGGCTTTTGACTGCTAACCAGAAGGTTGGCAGTTCAAACCCACCAGCCACTCCACAGAAGAAATGCAGGCAAATCTACTTCTGTAAAGATTTACAGCCTTGGAAACCTAATGGGTGGGGGGGCCGCTATGAGTTGGAATCAACTTGATGGCAGTGGGTTTTTTTGGGGGATGGGTGGGCTGGGGTGTGCTCCTAAGTATATTCTAAATGTACCCTTTCATTTTTTTTACATATGGTGGGGGGATTCCACCATGGGTGAAAATATTCAGAAAAACCAGTATTTTAGATTTTTCCCACTGGATTATAGTAGAGGTATAAATGAACCCGTGTGCTTTGTGAATGAAATACCAGGAACTGAACTAAACTGAATTTAAGTGTTTTGTAAAAGGTTCCCAACACAACCCTTTTACAAGTCTGAATTAAAGATAAATGTTTAACAGTCAGGAGAAGGATAAGTATAAAAAGTGGGCTGAAAGATGGACAAGGTAGTGGTAGTTTATCTCATGTCGAGACTGAAAGAAACAATCTATTTTCTGGTTGTGAGTTTGATCAGATTCAAAGAACAGAGAACACAGGTTTCTTTCTCCAGTTTCAGCTGACCATTAATTTAGTCCTTAATATTTATGAAAAGAATTGATATAAAGATGGAATTAGTTGTTTTCTGTATTAACTATATGGAGAAAGTTTGGACTGAAGGAATAACTTAAATCAGACTTAATGAAGCAAACATGTAGCAAGCCCTCAGTAGAGCACACGGTTCCAGGCTGGAACAAATGGCCACTGAAGACCACAGAAGCTCCACACTGGAAGATTCTGAAGCACTCACCTATCTAGACAAGTTGGATAAAGACAATGTAGCCTGACTGACCTGAAACCTTTTGTTTCTATTTTATTAGAAAAATTTAAAATTACCCAAACAATACAAATACATATAAAGTAAAAGCTGATGATATTCCCCTACTCTCTATTATGAGGTGGCCTATATTAGACCAATATACCTTGCTTTTCTTCCACCTAAAATGTCATGGACAACCTTTCAGGTTAATATGTATAAATCTTAATCATTTTTTAAAAATCTGTAATATGGAACACAGTACCATTATTTCTATGTAATTATTTTCTTACATATTATTACACATTCAGGCTGCTTTCACATTTTTGCTACAATAAACAAAGCAGTCCTTAGGGCTGCACATTAGGGCTTTTTATTCTTATCAATTAGATCCCAAAAAGCACTTTTCCTGGTTCAAAGCATGTGTATTTGCAAAAAAGATGTAGCAATTCAAACTCCATCAGCAATATTTGAGAATTCCCATTTCCAAAATCCCTGCCAGTGCCATGGTATGTATGGTAGCAATCTGTAATTCTGGCCAATGTGTATGAGTCAAAAATGGAACCTCATTGCTTTCCTGTGCATTTCCCTGACCACTAGTGAGGCTAGATTTCACCCTGTATATGTATTAGACATTTGTATGTCCTCTTTTGTATTTTGTTCATGATGTATTTTTTCCCCCTATCTATCTGGGTCTTAAACTCTTTCATATGAATTGCAAGTATTTGATTTTTGACTTTATAGTATCTTCTACCATACAAAAAACACTTCCTTTCTGTAAAGGCCTTTGCTATGTATTTGTAAAGCAGTCCTATCAGAAGTACTCAAATGGCTGGGTATCTTCTGAGCAACCAGTTAATATAACAAGATTTTCTAGTTTATGCTTGGGACACAATAACGTAAAAGCCTTTGACTGTCTAAAAGAAAGCTGGATAAAGCCGATTAAAATACACGGTGAAAAAAAAAAAAAGGGCCCTCAATCAATACTTTTTTTCCAGCATGAATACAACAGTGTAAAATAAAAACTTAATAGTTCAATTGCCATTCTGACCTTCAAGAAAATCCCAGGACTATTCTGTTTCTACATAAGGGATATAAGCATCAGGGATATTTCTCTTCATGAGAAAGCTGAAAGTATCTTGAAGTTATCACTGGAAAAATCATGCATTGGAACTGGCAGAGCGATTAACTGACTTTAGGCAAGAGTTTTACTGTGTCAAGACTTTGGCATGTCATTTGTTGGAAACCTACTTTAGTGAAAACTATCCACACCTACCAGATGTGAATTCTGAACGGAATCCTGCATACTCAGCTTTTCCCTTTGACCCTTATTTACAGCCTGGGACTTCTAACAACATCTCTCTTCAGAAATAAAAATTGTGGCCAACTATGATAAACTTGTGCCTAAGAGACATTTTTAAGATACTCTGTATCCAAAACACACCACAATGTGATTTTATGAATAACATCATACCAACCATCAGGCAAACTAACTTTCCATTTCTTTTACATGAATTCTTTTCAGAGGATTATTTTAAACAGAGTAAAAATTAGTAACGAAGGTTAAAAAAAGTTTCCACATATAAAAATCTGTGAAATCCCTAAAGGGACAGAATTACAATTTACTGGGTCTATTATGTGCCAAGCACTGTTAACATACTTTACATACCATTTTAACCCACAAACCTTCAGAGGTAGGCGTAGTAACATCCATTTTACAGATGAGCAAATTGAGGCTTAGCAAGTTGAAGTAACAACTAAAAGTGACAGAGGTGAGATCCCCAAATCCAGTATTCCTCCAAAACCCACATTTCTTTCACTGTCCTTTGAAATTTCCTCACAAATATATACCATCTTTTATATCCTTAAGCTTTAGTCCTTAATTACCATACTTGAGTTCATAAAAGTACTTTTAAAATCAAGCATAACTTATGGAGCCCACAATGCCCTCAACCTGGGAGTTGGTGGTCTTCTTCCGCTTTGTAACTCACTCCCAAAGAAATCCCTTTGAGTTCCTGTCTTACCCTACAGAGCCACCTAGTGGCACAAAGGGGAGACACCAGGCCCTTCCAAAAAAGTTGACTGAGGGGCAGGCCTGAGGTAAACCAGGGAAGAGGCTTCACCTTGTGCTGAATTCCTGCAGTGGCACACAACAGTGATAGAAATACACCAGTGCTTGGTTAGTGAGGGGCATACATGCTGCCCTCAAGAAGATTTCTGACTCATAGCAACCCTATAGAACAGAGTAGAAAAGTCCAATAAAGTTTCCAAGGCTGTAAATCTTTACCTTTCTCCTGCGGAGTAGCTGATGGATTCAAACTGCCAACCTTTCACTTAGCAACTAAGTACTTAACTACCCTTCCACCAAGGCTCCTTGGTGAGAACAAGCGGTTTGGAATCACATGGATCACGACTCCAGTTTCCAATAGCTGTGTGAACTTGGCTTCATCTCTGAGCCAGTTTTCTCATGGACTAAAGGAGCGTACAGGGCTATTATTAGGATTAGACAATATATATAAAGCACCTGGTACACAGTGGGCTCTCAAAATAGTATTTATTTATATTTTGTCTTATTTTAGGAAGGCCTCTTGATAGAACAGCTTTGTGAAAATGCTGGGAGTGGGAGGACCTAGCACACTCATTTATCCAGAGGATAAATGTCTAGTCAGTGAAGTAGTTACCCTCTATCAACGGGGCATAAGCATTAGGATGGGGAGACCCTGTCAGTGAGGTCTGTACCCCAGTAAGAAGGAAATTCTAAGTAGGGGGACTATATCAGGAGGGTGAGAATTCCATTTCAGTGAGGGAGTACTTAGAGATCCTATAGCAGAAGAGATTGGAGCTCCTCATGAAAGAGGCCATGTGAGAAATTACTGGCCTTGGGAGACATGAGTAAGGCTTTGTTATAAGGGGAATAGGTGCCACAGAGGATTTTATTCGCAAGAAATTTTGAGACCAGGAAGCACAGTGTTTTCTCCCCAGACTTGAGGGAAAGATTCTCCTTTTATATTTTGCCAAACATGGCTGGCTGTCTTATGAAGGTAAGAAAACCCTCATTCATAGCAAAATAGACCTGCACTTTCTAGAATCTTTTGCTTAAACAATTACTTAGGACATAAAAGCTTTTCTTCCCCCTTGCAGTAACAGGCTTTCTTCCAAAAATTACAGTGGTATCACTCAAAGGCAAAATAAATAAAATCCAGTGTCAGATACTGCTTACTTAATTAGTAAAATAACATGCATTCCACACACCTGTCATTTTAAAATTAGAACTAATCATACAGTATTTGAAACTATATCAAAATTATCTATTATTTCAGATATGGAAATTTCTATAGAAGACACAACCCCATACCATTTCATTTTCTTGAAGATAAATGTAAAAATGTCATTTGAATACTACCACTTAAGCAAAGACACAGTAAATACTTACAAATATTTACAGAACAAACATGCAAATATTTTACCTCCTACATCTATGAAGTGTTTTGCAGCCAAGCCAGAACGTGGAGCTAAAAAACAAAAGGAAAAAAAAGGCTGTTTTAAGAGGGGAGAGATAATATTGGATATGACTGACACAACTTAAGCATGTCACTCTCAACTCCTATAATATCTTCCTATTCACTTTAGCAGACGATTCTGAATTTCTATTATTTACACACCAAACATAAAACACTTCAGTAATTTCTACACGTACAATTCAGTGACACTGGTTACATTCTTCAGGTCGTGCCGCCTTTCTCAACAATTTTTTTCCCAACTCTTTCACCATCATTAATGTAATTAACTGGCCCTTAAGATTCTCATCCATCCTTTTAAGTTGCTGTTGTCAATTTAATAACAGATAAATAATTCTTTAAGAGTATACTCCTTAATGCAGACATTCTTTTCCAATTAGGCTGAACTATTTTCGGTTCATAGATGACTTTAGGGAGTAGTTTGAGTTCCAGGTTTAAAAATTTCCTCAGGGAAACAGTGTTAAGAAGTCATCCAGCCTCAACTGTTCCAGAGTTTGGATTCCGTAAGAATTCAAAATTTGTTCTCCATTTTCCCCTTTTGTTCAGAACTCTTTTATAGACTCTTTGATATAAATGTTCAGTTTGGGTAGCCAGGCAGCATCCAGTTCTGGTCTCATGGCAAAAGAGGCAGTTGTTTATGGAGTTGACTGGACACCTACTCCAATTCCTCCACTGATTCCTGACCCTCCTTCTTCCTCTGGTGCTCCACGTGATAGAGGGGAAGAAAGGATTGTGGCTGTGAAGATATGGGACTAAGGAAGAGGACTTTTATTTTAAGATGGGAGACTTAATCAAGCTGCAGTATATATGGGAAGAAGCCAGAGAGAGAGAACACAAATCTAACACAACTGCAGCAGAGCTCAGCGTGGAACTAGGGACTCCTACTCAAGATTCAGATGCAAAAGACACATCTGCATGAAACAAAGGAAGCACAGTGAGATAAAAAGCCTAACAGTTAAACAAGATGCCAAAATCTAAACCTCAGACAGTCAATCTCAGCATGCTTTTTATTCTTAAAATGAAAAAATACTTACTGACTTCACCTCAGGCCTATCATTGTAATATTTCATTCCAGAATTATTTAAATTAGGCACTCTGTTAACAAATGCCACCCATTCCAGCCTTGCCATTTATCTATTCTATTTCCTGACTCCCCCTCCCACCACAAAAAACACTGAAAATGCAATCAATGATGCCAAAATGAGATGAGAAAGGTCATCTTTTTCGTTTAAAGGTTGATTGACTGGCAGTTCTTTCTCATGGCTAATGAGATAATGGTAGTCTGGGTAGCCCTTCCCAGTGCCCCATGGGAGCCAGAGTTCCATTTGCTGCATTATGTTTACTATGAGGTGTCAGAAAGTAATTGTGCTCTTGAAAAGGTACGCTTCTCTCCAGTGACAAGTAACTACCTCTAGAAGGATTTGCACTCCATTTTGCCCATCCCCTCCCACTATGAGGCACTTCCCTCCAGCATACTGAAGAATACCCTTAATTGTAATACATCCCATGCATGAGGAGGATGCCCAAATGGAAAAGGTTCAGTGGGCTGATATACTATGAGAACAACATGGGGCAGGAGTTTTAAGCTCTGTACGTAAAATGCCATGTGTCATTATCCTAAGCCTTTCTTCATTTTTCTCTCATATAACAAATATTAACCACTCTCATCACTGTCTACACAAATCTAGTCTCATAGGAGATCTGATCCTTCGTGGGTTAGCTGGCAGGAAAAAGTTCCAGTTAAAACTCACCTGTATGTTCAGTTTTTCTCACAACGAGGAGTTGCAAGAATTACCTCCTAGGCCAAAGAGATATAAGCAAAACCAGGTAAGTAAATGAAAGTTTCCAACTGGCTGCATTTGCCATCACAGAAGGCTCCTTTTTATTTTAGGAAGTAGGCCAAGTGATGTTGTTTCACTCAGTTATGTACCAAGTGAAACTAAGACATGGAACACACTACAAAGAAAAAAAAAAATTTTAAAAACCTAACCTGTTCCTGTCAAGTCAATTCTGACTCATGGTGACCTCATGAGTTACCAAGCAGAACTGAGCTCCATAGGGTTTTCCTGGCTGTAATCTTTATAGAAGGTCACCAGGCCTTTCTTCTGCAGTGTTGACAGAAAGTTTGACAGAGTTACCTGTTTCTTAAATCACTTACCTACTCTTCCATAACAACCAGAAGGAAGGGCTATCTGAATGTCCGTTTTCACAAGGGCTTTCTCCATGGGTGGAATTGTATAATCATAGGCACTAAGGTTTTGAAAGAAAATAACCAGATTTATTCATGAAATTATTTTTACAATTTTCTTCTTTGTGATCAAGTATATAAAATTTCTTTAAAGATATTTTGTAAAATAATCATAAAAATAATTGATACAACCGTAGATCTCTATAATCAATCTAGCTAAGATTTAAGGGCACTAAATTACCAATTCATCTTTAAAAAACAAAATCTAGATGGCGGAGGTAGATTATTTCTTCTGGTTTATTATTAAAATCATGACAGCTTTACAAATAAGTCTCTGAATTTTTGGTGAGGGAAAGAGGTGTCAATGTGTATGCCTCTAAGTAAAATTTTGTTGATAAAATGAGGTACATATAAGAAGGGGACAGAAAAGCAAACCTTAAGATATATGCTTCACTAACACAGTACATAAAAAAGATGAAGTACCAATAAAGGATAAATAATAGCTCACAATTGTTAATTATTTATTAAATTCTTATTAGGTGCCAGGTACAGCTCTAACTTCTTTATATACTTCTCATTTCATATATTCATTCATACTCAAATCTCATTTAATTGTCACAACAATCCTCTATGACATGAGGGGAAAATGAACAAGGTTAAAAAAATTGGGTGGGAAAAATAAGGGGGAAAAAGGTAGAGCTGTGTTGCATTTGTTCTCCTTGGCTTGGTAGTGTTTATGAACTTCACTGGTTGAGGGATCGAGCTGATCACTGTGAGCAGTCCCTGCAAATGGGCATTGCTGAGGAACTGACCCTCTGAAGGAAAATGCTGCTATTGTTGCTATTACTGTAACTTCCTTCCTTGATTGAAATTTAAGAAACTTCTACAATAAGCAAAACTGCAAGTTATTTTGAAGACTCTAATTAAGCCTGGTAAAGTAGTACTAGACTTTCACTTCTTTCCTTGGAATTTCCTCCCTTTAAATAGCTACATTCTCTAATTTATTAAAGAGATCAGTTATTCCCAGGGTGACTTTGTTGTTGTTGTTTGCCGTCGAGTCGGCCCCGACTCATAGCGACCCCTCCTTGGGTTTCCGAGGCAGTATCACTACGGAAGTAGGATTGCCCAACCTTCCTTCCGAGGAGTGGCTGGTGGGTGACTTTAGTACCCAGAAAGTCACCGATGTGTTTATTAGGAAGATGCTTAAAGTATCTTAAGTCAAAGTTTTGCCTAGAAGTCACAACAGTGCTCAGGCATGGCCTTTGGAAGGATCTAGTCAAACTACATCACTCTCCTACCCATTGCCATTGAGTCAATTCCAATTCATAGCGCTGCTACAGAACAGAACCAAACTGCCCCACAGGGTTTCCAAGGTTGTGAAACTTTATGGAGGCAGATTGCCACAACTTTCTCCCGATGAGGAGCAGCTGGTGTATATGAGCTACCAACATCTTGCTTAGCAGCTTTTACCATTGTACCACCAGGGCTCTACCTTCCATGGAGGCTTGCCTCTTTCTTTGAGATTGAACATATATCAGCAGTTCTAGACTACAAGAAAGGCCTGGTCATCTTTCAAGGGACCACAACAGTCTGATTCCATTGTGCATGAGGTTGCCATGAGTCAGAGGATGACTTGACTGTTGCCAACATCAACAATGGTTCTAAGAACTGGGTACAGTCAAAGTGGAGAACAAAAAAAATCCACTGAATTCAGGGTCAATAATTTGATTACATTTAAGTCCTTGAGTAAACCAATTCAGGTCTCAGCAAACTTTTCTGCTAAAAGTAAAACTCATCAATGTCAGGACTGTTGTGCTGATTAAAATAGCCTATCAGAAAGGTTTTAATATTGGTAAAAAAGTGCTGCACAAACGAAGGGTGGTAATATTAGTAACCCGTTTTTCATATTTGGACCCTTTCTGAAATTCCCAGTCCTTCGGCAGAACTTAAACACGACTGGGGAAATGTTAGCTCTGGTGGGGCAGTGCCTAAGACATTTGCCTCCTAACCAGGAGGCTGGCGGCAAACCCAGCAGCCACTTCGCCAGAAGGAAGATTGGGCAATCTACTTCCCTATAGAGTTACCGCCTCCCGGGAAACCCAAAGGGGTAGCTTTGAGTCGGACTCGACTAGATGGGAGTGAGTTTGGTTTTTTTGCTTTTAAGGCTTCCTTCAGCAATCCTTGGGTATTTTAATACTCTGCCCCTAGGCTCACATTAGGACTTTTCTATTTAGCACAGCGTATCTCTCAGGCCGTCACTCTTTGAAGACTAAGAAGAGCCTTAGTCGTCTCTATCCTCCACTTACAAAGGGTACAGTAAATATGCATAACGAACAACGCCTTGGTAAGTATTCTGCAGAATATTTACTATTTCACACCCTGCCCAAATTCCTACTTAATTCATGCTGAATGCTACAGTTTTCAAGACAGAAAACCTACGTATATGCAAAAAGGGTTTGTTTGTTCCTGCAACCTTTTAACTGATGTTTCAAGCTGTGGCAGCAGACTGCCCGAACATAAAGAAGCAGGACCTGCACCTCTGTAATTCAGGAATTGGGCCTCCTTTGCCGAGGGCAGAAGTGGAGGCAGACGGCTGCCCCTCTCAGCCTCTTCGCCCGGGCCAGCGTTCTCCGGGTCGGGCGGTGGCCCCCACTCACCTGTACAAGTCATAGCCCGCGGCTCGCGCGGACCCCCGAGTCGGGGCCGTAGCGTGCTCCGAAAGCCGGGTAAAGCGGAGCCTCACGCCGCCCTCCTCCGCAGGCCGGGCCCGCTTGCTGGGGGAGATGGCGAGTGTCTCTTCGGAGCAGGGCATAGCAGTGCAGAGAGAGACGGAGAGCAGAGACCAACAGAGAGAAAGAAAAGACAGTACTGGCTGAAGCAAGACGCAGGGAACAAACCAAGTTCTAAATCTCCCGCCACCCTCTCCCGGTCCCACCCCACCCTCCAGGACGAGCCCACAATTTTGACTAGAAGGGGAAGAGTGATTCAAAATTTGGACTGGAAGCCCTTCTCGGGTAGCACGTTTGGAATTGGAAACTATTGAGCCTTTTGTACCTTTCCAAACTCAAGGCCGGGGTTCAGTATAAGGGGCACCTTCAATAACCTCGCCCACATAAAATAGAAAGCCAACGCTTATCCCCCACTAGGGGATTCGAATGGACTCGCTCCCGCGCATTCAGAGGCGGCGGGCTTGCCCACTCTTCCGGCCGCCTAAAACTGAGAGCCTCAGTCGACTTCCTCCCAAAGCGTCAGGGCAAGGGAGTGGAGAGCCGGACGTGCTCCTAGCATCCCCACATCTTAGAAAGCGTTCCCTGGAAACTTAGGCCCCTGACTTTACTGGCTCCGTTGCGATCTCGGCTTAGGTTTCGAGCGCTGGACAGCGGCCGGATTCTCCCTAGGAGCATGGCGCTCTGAGGGGCCTGGCCTAAATCGACCCGCAGTTTCGGCTCCAACTCGCGTGCTTTGCGTGTCTTTAAACACCGCGTGGAGCAGAGAATGGAAGAAAATGGTAGCTCATCGTGAGACTACAGAAAAGACTAATTTTTCTCCGAGACACTGCTTTTGGTTGGTTCCTCTGCTCCTCCGCGCTCGCTGCGTCTACGCCGTAAAGGCACGTCCGGTTAAAATGACCTCGGAAGCAGTAACCGCTGCCACATGACGAGAGCACGGAGGTGGTGCCTCGGATAGGGGCAGGTCCTCGACCCCCAGGGATGCAACGTCCATGCTGCTTCTCGCTCATATTTTTTTTCCTCGCCTCCCGTTTTCCCACAGTATTCGCGGCCCAGGGTTCAGAACATGACTTACCTGGGGCGGCTCCATCTGCAGCCATGGCGTCACGGGTTCTGATCTCAGGAACCACAAAAGCTGACGGAACCGCATCACAGTGCGGTTGCCAGTCACTGCGCCCAGTGCCGGGCCCTAGACTGGACAAGGCTGTTGTTGTTGTTATATGACGTGGAGTCGGACCCGACTCATAGTGACCCCTCCTTGGGTTTCCGAGGCAGTATCACTACGGAAGTAGATTGCCCCATCTTCCTTCCGAGGAGTGGCTGGTGGGTTTGAACCACCAGCCTCCCGGTTAGCAGTCAAGTGCCTTAGCCACTATGTATCAGAGCTACCAAGACTGGGCACAGCAGCACGCTTGTTTTTCTTACAACACCTAGAATGGGAGACTACATACTGTGTACTCTTAGGAGAAATCGCAAGGACAGCTCAGTTAAAATTCTGGCACTCCGGCTGTGGTTCCCCAGAAGCACAGAAGGGGACCTCAGCCACGATGGTGTAATTTACAAAAGGGGATGAATATAGATAATTGCAAATGGGCTGGCTTTTCTAGGATACGAGTATCTCCAGTTATTTCCGACACTGACACAAAAATCTGAAAAATAAATGAAATACACAATGGTTGTCAAAGTAAGTCGAAGTTAGAAGGCAGTTTTTAGAATTTTACAGGGTAATGTTGGAGAAGTTTTCAGACTTATTTGCTGTTCCTTTCCTTACAGGCCCTGCCTTTTTTGTCTCCTTTACTGTCTGCTCCTCTTCTATTCCTTTTAAACGTTGAAATTACTTGAGGCTAGGTTCTGAGGTATATTCTTCATTTGCCCCTCTCTCTTTAAGTATTAAGCCCTGAAGACTCCCCCCAGTTTATACCCACAGCAACAGCCTCTGGTCCCTGCTACTTCCCCAGCCTCATCTTGAGTCATCATCCTATTCACCTTCAGTGCTTCTGCCACACTCACTTTCTTACAGTTTCTAGATCCACTGGATCCGCTCCTGCTTCAGGGCGTTTATACATCCTTGGTTTCAACTTCATGAGTTTCAACTCATCTCAAAGGCGCCTTTCCTGACAAACTTAACTAATGTACCTGCCTTGTCTTTCCCTCACCCCCATTTTCTATCACAGTGTTGTTTTTTGTTTGTTTTTCTATTCTACCACTTATTATGACAATCTATTTCTCTTTTTTTTTTTTTTTTGTATTTTCTTTTTCATTGCCTATTTGCTCTAGGAGACTTAGTTCCATGAGGGCAGGGACCATGTATGTCTTCTTTTGTTGTATTCTTGGTGCAGAGCTCTGTGGCTGGCTCAGAATGGTGTTTGATAAATATTTGTTACATGAATAAATGATAGTGATCTCATTGTCTATTCCATCAGGCCCTTGTATATTATATCACTTCATAAAGTCTGTTCATTTTTCTGTCATTGATTTAATTTCCAATCAAAGGCTTTTTCAATATAAGGCTTTTTCAAGGCCTACAGTCATGAACAGCAGTCTCTACCCTATCCTTTCACACACACACCTTTCTCCAGGTCTCCCTCCTCAGAGGCAACACTTCCAACTTCTTTTTTTTAGGTCTTTCTACTGGAACTGACCTCTGTTTCTAAATTGTATAGTGCTTCCCCCCCACCTTTTTCTTTTTAAATCAGGATAGAAGTTACCTTCTGTGCTAGGGTTGTTGAAGATTTAAGTACGTACCCTATCCACCCACCCCATTTTGCCAACAGTAATTAGTATTTATAACTGTGTAAATAATCATTCACTGTTGAGATAAGTAATGTGACATGATTGTTTCCTTTCTTTTTTCCCCACACCTGTACCCTTCCGATTAATAATTGCCTTGTTTTTCCATTTGTTTTTGTTGTTGTTGGTGGTGGTGGTGTTATGTGCCATCACGACAGACCAGACTCATAGCCACCTCTCCTTAGGTTTCCGAGGCGATATCACTACGAAAGTAGATTGCCCAAGTGTTTTTAATTTACTTCTTGCTTGTTTTTCCAAATGCTACAGTGTTCCCATACATCAAAGCTCTGTCACATCAAATGAAACACGAAGACACATCAGTTTCATCCCTTGACAGTTCCGTCTTACCCTAGAATCTCCCTGCCTCCTCCATTCTCTTGCTGCAGTCTGTGCAGGTGCCTCTAGGCCTGCTGAACAGCTGTCATCCTGGGACTTCCTTTTGCCCCTCTCTTGTTTTAGAGCTTGGGTTTTATGGATCTGGTTTGTTCTTTCTTAGTTAACTCCTTCATTTTGCTGAAGCATTTTCTCTAGTAATTTCTTTAAATAAAGTTCATATGGGAGATACATTATTTGGGTCTTTGCATATCCAAAAATGTAATGATTATAATGATTCCCTTAAATCCACATAAAAATCTAGCTCATTCATACAACTCCCTCCTCTTATCTCCTAGAACATTTACTCTATCCTTTATCAATTAGTCTTATACTCCCATTGTGTAATCTCATGTATATGCCTTTTATCTTTCACAGTAATTAGTCATAAACTTTTATGAATCCTTCAAAGCAGTTACTTCAGTGTTTTGCACAGATTATGCTACCTAGCACAAAAAAAAAAAAAAAGGTATTTCTTCCGCTACTCTGCTCTTTCTTCTCTTAATCTGGATACAGAAAGTGTTTCTTATTGTCACTTTTCATCTGTGGTTATTTTAGACTAAAAAGAGAAAAAAAAAGGCCATTGTCCAACTGGAAAAGAATAACAGTTTAGACTTCTAAAACAGTAAGTATTTAATAGAACATTCATTTTGACAATTGAGATATTACTTGATATGAACACTGCACATACACCTTAAATTCAAGATATAACAGTAAGAATTAGATATGTTCTAACTGGAGTTTATTTCACCTTATTACCCTTTTCAAGATGCAGTTATTCTATCAGCTGTGCTGAGTAATTTAATTACACAAGTCTAGTGCCAACTTGGGCCTGTTGAGAATGCAAGTTGGTGCTTTATAAGCAAAGTTGTCTTTCCTACCTTTGCCATTAAAGGGATTTCTCTCTATCTCTCCACTTTTAACAAAGACTTAGACAGTGTTTACTTTATGCCAGGAATATATCCTGTTCTGCTGGCGTAGTGCTTAAGGCATCTGACTGCTAACCAGAAGGCTGCTGGTTCAAACCCACCAGCCACACCTCAGAAGGAAGATTAGGCAACCTACTTTCATAGACGTACTGCCTCATTAACCCAAGGAGGGGTCGCTATGAGTCAGATTCGACTCAATGGCAGCGAGCTAGGTATATATCCTAAGTGCTTTACAAATACTACTTAATCACAACAACCATAGGAATCAAGTGCTATTATAGGCCCATTTTATAGATGAAGAAACAAAGCACAGAGAAGTTACATAAATTGCCCAAGATCACACAACTCACTACTAGAAAGGGAGATACCCAGGATCCAACTTCAGGTAGTGTGAATTCAGAGCCCTTGCACTTAGCCACTAGCCTACAGGGCTAAGCAAGGACTTAATGCTCAAGATAAAAAGCCTTGGAGTTTTACTTGCCTCCTCTCTTCTCTCAGGTCTTCTGTAAAAATAATTCCTCTTGCTGCTTTGCTCTATTTGATTTTTCTTAATAGCATGTATAGGAGCTCTGGTGGCATAGTGCCTAAGGCATTTGACTGATAACCAGAAGAAGGCTGGCGGTTCAAACCAGCCACTCCTCAGAAGGAAGACTGAACAATCTACTTCTGTAGTAATACCTCCTCAGAAACCCAAAGAGGGGTTGCTGTGAGTTGGATCTGACTCTATGGCTGTGCGTTTGGTTTTTTTGGTTTAATAGCATGTATTGTTAAAATTACATATTCATTTAATTTGTCAGTTGTATGTTTCTTCCACTAGCGTGTAAGCTCCAAGATGGATTTAAATCTACTGTCTTAATTTGGAGGAGCTCTGGTGGCATAGTGCCTAAGGCATTTGATTCTAACCAGAAGGCTGGTGGTTCAAACCCACCAGCCACTCCTGGGAAGAAAGGTTGGGCAATCTACTTCTGTAGTGATACCGCCTCGGAAACCCAAGGAAGCGTGGCTATGAGTCTGGTCTGACTCCA